TATATATATTTGCTTTCATATATATATACATATATATGAAACGATAAAAATGTGAATGTCAAATGGGACTCTGTCAGTTTTCTTCCAGTGAATTACAATATAAAGAAAAACTTGCAAAAACTGACAGACTTTAAAACATTCATTCCACTCTTTGACTGCAAAAATTAAGTAGCCTCTTCCCCCAAAACATAAGACGCTGTAACAGCCTTATAAAATGCATGAGATACTATCAGATTCTGCAGAATTTTCACCAGTTTCTGCAGACCTAAAAAACTTTAGACTAAAATTCACATATTTCAAATCAGGGTAGTAAACACAGAAATACTTCCTCATCTTTCTCTCATCCCAAAACTGAATGAAAGCAATGCCCCAAAGGTTTTCCAAATTTTCAGATCTTTTACAACAGAAATTAATGTCAGCTGAAAGAGTACTCCTGTTCTTTTTTCGCTTGCACACGACATGAAGTGGAGGTGCAGGAGAGGCAAAAGCAGTAGCGCAACTAGGCAACTTCAACAGCACATATCGATTGCTCTTCTCTCTCCATCTCTCCTCCAACGGCCATCTCTAAACGTAACGTTCCCATTCGTCTGTACTCGAATCCCATATAGTATTATATAGCCGGTCATTTTTCTTTTCAAATTATGTCCTGGAATAAAATACGTTAAAATAAACTTGAAAAAAAAAATCCAAAATAAACTTGAAAAACCAAGTTTGTGAGTATAGTTTCCGGTTCAAGTCTAGTATAGTACGTGACATACCAAAATGTTGTAAAACGCAGTCGTGTTTAAAACCTGTCTGCTTGTTGACAGCAAAAAGTACGAGATTACATTGCAATTTTCTAATTTTAAAATCTCCTTGTTAAGAGTTAAAGGTTATTTTTCATTTAAAACTTATTAACAAAAGTAGTAGCCACGAGTTGACCAGCAATCAAAAAATCGTAAATTTAAAACTTCCAAGGCTTCTGCAATGAACCCTGGATTGAAATTCAAAGCACAAACCTTCACAGTTCGACATTCCGCAGTGGTCCTGAAAAAATATCAGTTACACGGATCTTAAATCTTTACCATGTTATCGTCGATTTCAACAACAGAATTATCCGGACCGCGTAAATTTTGTATTATGTTTCGCATTGGTGGCGTATAACACATTAGATGCGCCTAATATATTTACATTCCTAGCCACCAAACCATTTCGTCCGTTATTAGGCTACGATAATTGTTGATCTGCGGGATGTTAACAATAAGAGTAGTTTATAATGTATTTTGGGTTTTTTTT